TATATTATATTATATATATGTGCATATATATAAAATGTATATATATATAAAAACAAAGTTAAAGCGTTAAAAAAAATATATATATATTAATAAACGCTTCAACTTTTTTTTTAAGTGGAATATTTCGATTTTTAATCCCGCTCCGGGTATTGAGTTTTAAAGCACATATATTCACACATACATAATTAGGATATAAGCTTATTCTATAAATTTCAGAAAAATCTACACTCAGGAGCCTTAATATTTATTAGTAATTAGAAAATTCAAATCTCAATTTTTTTTTAGATTTGTATTGGCTGGCGCTGGCGGTGTAGATCACAATCAATTAATCGAGCTTGCCGATAAGTATTTCGGCAAAATGACAGAACCGGAATATGATGTTATACCAGATTATATTAAAGCTTGTCGCTATACTGGTTCTGATATAAGAGTTCGTGATGATTCGATTCCTCTCGCCCATATTGCGATCGCAGTTGAAGGTATTAGCATTGTTAATATTGCAGATAAATTGTAACATGTTATAGAACAATGAATGCATTATTTAGGTGCTGGATGGGCTGAGGCAGACAACATTCCTCTTATGGTCGCGAATACTCTTATAGGAGGATGGGATCGTAGTCAAGGAGGAGGCGTAAATAATGCAAGCAATTTAGCTAAAGCTTGTGCAGAACAAGGCTTGTGCCACAGTTATCAGAGTTTTAACACATGTTACAAAGTATGTGTTAAATAAGGTCTGGTTTTTCATTTGCTGATTAACTTATGGTTAAACAACCTGTAGACCTATTCTATAACTTTTAACGACAGTTCGGCATCTTTATACAATCAGTATGGTTGCGTTTGGAAACGTCGTTCGGATGCCTTGGATTTATTATTTGTCCTTGTTTAACATTAAATGTTGAACAAGGACAGACGATGAATCCGAGACATTGGAGATATCCGAGTGACGTTTTCGAACGCAGCTGCTGTGTTGCTCAGTTTTTTCACCATGTAAAATACTTGCGCAACAATATCCCTAGCTAATAAAATTACTGTAAAAAGTTACTGAATAGAACTACTGATGTTTCATCCAATGAACTTGACTTATTACATCATTATAGGATGCATTCGGAACATCACCTGGATACCTCTCTTATCCTTGTTTAACATTGAGTGAACAACAAAGATAAAACGATAGGCACTCGGGTGATGTTTTCAAATGCAGCCATAATTGAAGTTTATTGGATAAAACATCAGGTTGTTTAATTATAAATTAACCAGCAAATGAAAAATCAAGCCTAAATATTACTAATTTTCATGTAAAACATGATTATAATAATTAATGCATATTGGATCAATGAATGCATTATTTTTTTATTTTGCAGGATACAGGACTTTGGGGTATATATTTCGTTTGTGATCCCATGAAATGTGAAGATATGTTATTTTGTATTCAACAAGAATGGATGAAACTGTGCACGGCAGTTACTGAAAAAGATGTTGCACGTGCAAAGAATATTCTGAAAACAAACATGTTTTTACAGTTGGATGGAACTACTGCCATTTGTGAAGATATTGGCCGACAGATGCTTTGTTATAATCGCCGTATTCCACTCCATGAACTCGAAATGAGGATAGATGTATGTAGTTTTTATTGTATAGATCAAAATGTATCAAAATATTTAATACAAAAAGAGTAAACATGTGGTTTGTAACAAAATCTTTTTATGAAAATGTTTGAGATATATCTTAACATGTGATATATAATTTATATTTCAGAGCGTAACTGCTGAAACTATTCAAAATGTTGGTATGAAATACATTTTCGATCACTGTCCAGTAGTCGCAGCAGTTGGTCCTGTTGAAAATTTACCAGATTATAATAATATTCGTGCAGCTATGTATTGGTTAAGAGTGTAACTATTTTTAAGCATCAGTTAGTGAAATTTTAATATTAATTAGAAATAAAATGAAACTACGATATGCATATATGTGCTTCTGATAAAATATCCGTGCGAATTGATAAATATTAATAAATATAATTTCTAATCGAATATAAAACTTGTATTTCTATGTGAAATCGTAGTTTTATTTTATCATTTATTTACCAGATTATAATAATATTCGTGGAGCTATGTATTGGTTGAGAGTGTAACTATTTTTAAGCATCAGTTAGTGAAATTTTAATATTAATTAGAAATAAAATGAAACTACGATATGCATATATGTGCTTCTGATAAAATATCCGTGCGAATTGATAAATAGTAATAAATATAATTTCTAATCGAATATAAAAATTGCATTTCTATGTGCAATGATTCTAGTTTTATTTTATCATTTATCAAGCAAATATTCATTAATGTATATTGTTTGACGAAAATAAATCATAATTGAAAATACATTTTAGATAGTTTCTCAGTATTATTTAACTTAAAAAATAAATATTAATGCAAGAGCTTGTAGAATCATTTTTTAATTTAACATTAAAAATACGCAATCATTAGTGATTGTTAATTTAATAGTAATAATGTAATCTTCTTACGGACTTAAATTCAACAACAAAAAATCCAAAAAAATCAGGGCGAATAAGAGTCAGCGTGATAGTTAATATGCAATTTTAAATCTTTATTCCAAAAAATAGTATGTTTTAATTTATTTTGGAATCATCCTCACATACAATTTCAAAATATCAATTCCTTCATGTCCAAGAAAAAATCATCATTAGATTAATAGATTAATTAACAGATTGATATTGTAATCTATTCGAAACATTAAATTATCTTATAAATATTTCCAAACCATTCTATCCAACAAGTTACACAAATTAACATTATAAAACTGGTAACTCACCTCAAGACAGAAGGAATTCGTCTCGACATTGAATCAAAACCAATTAAAATTTATTATTACTAAAGAGTATCAAGTTAAAAATAGCATGTTGATCGCAAGCTCGAACGAAACATGACTAATACATTTAATAAGTAAGACATGTCAGGTCAAGGAAAATAAAAAGAAAAAAGAACAACGTCAATACATAAACAATAATTTGTAACCGACAAATTGTAATTATTTAATGTCTTTCAATAATTGTATATAAGTTTGATGTACGCTCTCTGTATCTGAGCGTAAATTGAGACTATTTTGTTGCATGAGTATATGAAGGCACTCAGATATTAAACGTTTGTTAAAAAAACGCTTTTCATCTAATATCGCGACATTCTCCCAATCAAAGTCATGTTCAAATTCAATCCGATGTTCTGTGATCACCGATTGGTTGTTATTATTCCGATTATGATTACGATGCTCAACCAATCTAGTTTTAAGTTTTCTTCCTGTCCAACATAAGACATCGCAGGATTTACACATGAGATTTTATACATTTTTTGTCTTTTCTCTTGGGAGGATGTCTTTATGTCCCTTGATCAAACTATTTAATTTATTTAATAGTAAAAGTTAATTTAGTAAAAGTTAATTTAGTTAAAGGTTTTACTAATTCTTTTGAATTTGTCTGAAATTTTTGAAATATAAGGTAGTACAAAGAAATACAATCCCTCTTGATTTCTTCACTTGATTCTTTCTGTTGTATCTATTATACCTTTATGAATGAGAATTTTTAAACATTTTTAAACATTTAATATTAACATTTAGTATTAAAAATTAAATCAATCGGATAATCATTTTTTAATACGTACTATTTTTTGGAATAAAGATTCTATTTTCTGGAATAAAGATTTAAGATTGCGTATTAACTACCAAGCTGACTCTCATTCGCCTTGATTTATTTGGATTTTTTGTTATTAATTTAATATTATATTTCTTGTATAAAAGACATGATTCTAAAAATTTTTGACTTCAATAATTATGTTTATTATGCTGACAAATATTTGTTTTTTCATTTTTTTTATTTTCTTTATTTTTATATTATAGTATTCTCGTTATTCTTTAGTAAGTAAGAAACGTTATTATTATTATTATTATTAGGCGTCAGGAACTCGAAAGCTCATTGCCGCAAATACCAAATCCCGCCACTGTTCCCGTCCCTGAGCCAGATCCCTCCATTTGTGACCCTCGTACCCCATTTCGTTAAGGTCCATTCTAATATTATCCTCCCATCTACGTCTTGGTCTTCCCAATGGTCTTTTCCCATCCGGTTTACC